CGTCACTTATTCGGGCTACAAGGAGAACACCACTTGGCATAAACATGGAAATCTATGACAACAGCCTCTATTCATATATATAGTAGAACCGAACCGCGAGGCAAGCGCGTACACCCCAACACAAAGCTACCTCTTCTTCTTACTCTCCCCCTTACCCTTGCCAGACCCTGACCCATTCCCCTCGTCCGGCTTAGCCGACGAGGACCCAGCCAGAAACGCGGCCATGTCAAAGTTGCCTATGGGATTAGCAGGCTGCCCCGACGCTGCGCCCATGAGCGCATTCATTGGGTTCTCCTTCTGCCTCTCTTCCCACTCGGCCCGCATCTCAGGATCCACTGCGAAGTGTTAGCTATCACCCCCATTCTCCCCCACCATACAGCAACTAGGAGAGGGTAAACTCACTATTCTCAATCAGCTTGGGCATCCCAAAGAACAGCCCCATGCTAACTAAGCTGAGCAGTATGATGGGGTTCTTGAAGATGCTCAAGACCGAAACTGTGATATCATCAGCACAAACTGCCCCTATTCCCCTAGAAACACAGCCTTCCCAAGACAGGGACGATCCAGCACGAGAATATGGGACAGGAACGCACATTGACTCCTCTCCATAAAGTACCCCTTCTGCCCCGCGGCCCTGGCATCCAAAACGACCCCTTCCTCCCCAGGACCTGATGCCGCAGTCACGGGGATGACCTCCCCTTTATTCCCCCAGTCATTGCCCCTGTACGTTTCCCACGCCGCGACCCTCAAGCCACCCGGCACATTCCCATCCACATCCGCAGCAGCATCCACATCGCCGCTATCAACAGCCCTCAGGACGTCGACGCGCAGCGGCACAAAGGCGTGCGTCGCGCAGTGCACGTCGACGAGGTATGAGCCCGGCGTGACGTTGCGGAAGACAAACGTGTTTGCGACCGAGAGCGGCGCCGCGAGGGCCTTGCCAAGAGTGGTAAAAGTCGCGCGGGTCGAAGCCGGGAGCGTGTGCGGATTCGGGAGCAGGTGGCTTGGTGGGATGCGGAGGGTTACTGTCGTCGATGATGATGATGAGGATGTCTGAGCGGGTGATCGGGCAGAGGCGAGAGAGCTTAGGAAAGGGAGTAAGAGGGTAAAGGCGGTGAGCTGCATTTTGAGCGGACGGGCGCGCAGCAGCGGTAGCTACGCGGTCACTATTCGAATGAAGCTGGTTTGGTGTTGAGGAGACTTGTTGACGTTAACGTCAATGACGGAAACGCAGCTTGCAGGCGGCAGGTGGGACGCCATGCATGCGGATAGCTCCGTAGTCCGTCCTGAGTGTATGGGAACGATTGGCTGCCAAGCTGTCGGACTCGGTGTGCGGAGCACTGTAACGTCACCAGTAACGTTACTGTATCATTGTGTAACTTTAGTTTG